TATATATTATATAATATATATTATATATATATATATATATATATATATATATATAATATTATATTTTACCTATTAATGTTCATAATTAATAACATTAAAATTTATTAAATGCTCCACTATATATTTTTCTATAACTTTAGCTTTTAACCATATATATTTAGGCATTTCTAATATAACTTAAACTAATATATTCCCTTCTTATAATTTTTCAATTCTAAGTACATACTTTTTAAATTTTATTTATATTGCAGATAGAATAATTTTTTATTTTATTTTTTGAAAGAAATTAATTTTAAAATAAATATATATATATTATTTTAAATACATGAAGATAGTTCAATTGAAATGAAAAAAAATTATTTTTAATCTATGGTTTTGTATCCTTTAAGCTTTGCTTAAATTAATAGAATATCTAATTATTTTTTTCAAACCAAGAATTTTCTCTATAAACATTATAGAATTAAATTTTATTTTTATGATAATAGAATTCTTCTATAGATTCATATATTTTATAATCTTCTTTTACTTTTAAAGCTAATTATTTTTCTTTTAAATAAAAGTTCCAAAAAAACTCATTTTGTTAATCTGAAAATATACTACAGACATCTTCAAAGTTTAATTTTTGAAAAATTGTATGGGCTTTATAAGATTAGTTATTTTTTTTTAAAATTCTCATTTTAGAATCAATTTTTATTAAATTCCATTTCTTTATTTATATCAATTTTATATTATTTTTAATAAAATAATATAAATATAAATTATTTACATTATTATCATTAAAATTTTCGCATATTTAAACAAATTCTTATTTAATATCTTATGGAATTTATTATAATTATTAATTATTAAGTTAAGACTATTTAGTTTAATTTGGATGCTCTTAAAAATCTTCTGTATTTATTTCTGATTAATAATATATATTTGAAAGAATTTATTTATCTTCTAAATTTTTTACTAATTATTCATAATCAATTAATATCTTATATAAAAATAAAAATATATATTTTTATTTTTAAATAGAAAATACAATTGCCTCTTTTAATATTTTTATCCATTCTTAAGCCTCTTATTTTTATTCAGTTCCCTTTTGTAATAATTTTAATGAAATTTAAAATATAAAAAAAAAAATACAAAATAAATCAAAAACTCTTCCCTATCTTTTTAGAGTTATCTAATAGTAAATATATATAAATTATTTTTTGGCCAAATACCATCAATTAGACATCCTTACAAGTTTATTAATTTTTTAGGTTTATCCATCTTTTTTGAAAATATATATATATTATATATATATATATATATATATATATATATATTTTAGGAAATAACTTATTCATTATCAAAACTTATTAATTATGTTCCATTTAAATAAAAATATTTCGCATTCCAAAAATCAAAAAGATTATTAACTTATTCATGAAGCCAACCAGACTTTTAAGGCCTTTATTTTATTTCAATTCTACCTTCTTCTTGATGCATTTTTTTTTTTGAAGTTATAAAGATAATATTTATAAAACAAATATTTTATTTTTTTAATTTAAGTTAAAATAATTAATATTTTAAAATAATAATATTATAAAAAAGTAATTTAATATATTTCTAAAAATTTGAAATGAATATATAATGTAATTCTTTTTTTTTTAAAAAAAAAATATCTTTTTTATTTATTTAACAAATAAAATAGTTAAATAGTAATAATAAAAAGAAAGTTTTAAAGTAATGTTATGTTTAATAATAAAATGATAATATTAATACTTAAATATATAGCATTTAAAAAAATTATAATAATTAAACAATTTTATATTTATTATCATGTAAAATAATGAAAAATATATTATTTAATTTTAATAAAATATTAATTATAATAGTTAATAAACAAATATTATATTATATAATTAAATTAATAAAACTAATTTTTAATTTATACTTATTAAATTATGATTTTTAATTTTATACATACTTATTTAATTATTAAACTAAATTAATAAATGAATAAAAATTATACCAAATTATTACTATATTTAAAACAATTTTTTTTTAAATTTTTGATTTTTATTTTCAATTTATATTAAATAAGTCATAATTATTTAAAGCAATTTACATATTTTTATCGTAATTGTAAATAAATAATTTTGAGAAACAAGAAAATTATCCTAAATAAATTAGCTATAAGAAATAAAAATAGTGAAATGAAATAGACAATTATGATGACTAATAACTTATTTAGTATATTAAAAATATTAATGAAAATATTTAAGATACAGATAAATTTATTTAAAAAAAATAATAATAAAAATTTTAATATTATAATAGGATAAAATACAATTAATAAATATATATTAAAATTGTAAAAGGTAAAATAAAAATTATAATAAATCAATTAATTACACTATAAAAATATTATAGAATACTTTAATAATTATTCTAATTCCAGGAATGTATGGAAATTAATATTATAATTATAAAATGTAGTGAGAATAAATATGATGAAAAATAATAAACTAAATCCATTAGGATAAATTTAATAACTATATGACAATATTAACTAATAATTACTTATTAAAAAGATAAATGAATACTTTGAATATAAAAAATTAAAATTTATGACTATAATAAGAAAAATGTGCAAGAAAGGATTTAATAATAAAGAAAGTAATATTTTTCTAAAGTAAGGATATCAGGAAATAATGTGCCATCTAATTCTGAATTCAAGACTTTTATAATATATTAACAAAAGGATAATGTTGAAGAAATAAAAAATAGATAAACTAATAGGTTTACTTGTACATATAGAATAAAAAAATAAAAATATTGATGAATATTAAAATGAAACTAAGTAATATAATACAATTATCTCAAAATCTATTAATATTTAAGAATTGGTTAGTAAATTTAGCCTATAATATGGATCTAAATATTAAATAATCACAAACTAATAAATAATAACTAAATATTTAATTATGAGTAAAAAAAATACTTAAAAATATTAATAGTTGATATAAAATTATTATATAATAATATTTATAACCCACATTTTAAAATAACTAAACGGAAAAAATAAGCTGATGATAATAATTAAGGATTTAAAAACCTCTATCTGATGAATTTTTTTTGTTATTGGTTATACTTTTTATTTTATTTTTATTATGGCTATACATCTATTATGAATTTGTAGGCCTTCTCATATCATAATAGTTCATATATCTTCGGGTATACATGGTTTTTTTGTGAAACCAAAATGCATACATATATACTAATATTATAAAATCTTTTTTAGAATTTAAAAAAACTAATTTTTTATTTTTTATATTAATTTAAATGTATAGTTTATATATAAAATAATGAAACTTTTATTAAAAATAAATTTTTGATTTTAATGAATAAAATTATTCATGTGTTTATGAAAATTATTACTTTTATTTTAAAAAATAATTATTTTTTATTAAAATATTGATAAATCATGATTACCTTTAATTTTAAAATAAATTTTATATAATTAAATAGTTTATATAATAATGATTATTGTTTATGTAAAATTAATTGAAGAAGTTAATTCGTAAATTTTTTAATTTTAATGGCAAATTTAATAAAAAGTTTTCAATAGCAAATAAAAATTATAAAAGTTAAATAAAAAATATATTTAAATTAAATAAAATTATTATATCATTTTTAATATTTATATATATATATACAAGATATTTTAAATTATAAATTATTTTTATATATATAGGTTAATTTATAAAAACATTTCTTTTATTGAAAATTAAATATAAATTATTGTTTTTTTTTTATAAAAAAAAGTAGATTTCTAAATTCTTGTGAAAATTTATAAACAATATATGTATACTTTTAAGCTTATTTTTAATCTTATTTAGTGAATAAAAATTATTTTAACATAGAATCATCTTTATTTTTATTTTCTTTATAATAGATAAATTAATTCTATTAATAATTTAAATATTAAATTACCTTTCCAATTTAATGTTAAAATTTTTAAATTCATTATAAATTTATTCAAATTTTTATTAAAACAAATTTATTTATTTAATAATTTCATCAATTTAAGGTTATTATTTAAACTTAACAGTTTTTAAAAATACAATATCAAATTCTTTACTAAAAATATGAGCTGCACTCATTTCGTTTTCTGAATCTCCTACACAAATTATATTTGTTATAATCTTATATAAAAATATATAAATTTATAATTATCTGAAAATAATATAAAAATTGCTTGCTTATCATAATATCTATGTAGATATTTAAATGCTTCTATTTTCCATAAATAAGATTAATCCGGGTATATTTTTTCAAATTTTGTTCGTGCAGATATTATTTTAATTTAATTTTCTTCAAAAAAATTATACACATAAGGTAAAAAAATTCTACTGCTTAATTCAACCCATCCTTAAGCAGCATTCGTAACTATATATATAGTTCCATAACTATACGCTTCTTTAAGAATTTGCAACTTTATATATATATATATATATATATATATATATATATATATATATATATATATATATATATATATATATATATATATATATATATATATACATATATATACATATATATACATATATATACATATATTTATTTTTTTATTTACCACAACTTAATCTAAAGATGTAATATATTTTTATTATTAAAATGTTATATTCTCGAACTTTTATTATTAAAGTGCTGAAGTACAAAATAGTGTATCATCCCAATCAAAAATTATAACTAAAAATTAAAAAGATAAATAAAAATATAAATCAATTAAATATATATTTAATATAAATGGTTTATTTAGATATATTAATTATATTTTTAATCTTAATTGAATTACAATTTTCATTTAGATTTAAATTTTATTTTTTATATTTTGTATATTTTTATTATTACTATTATTTTATTTTATATTTTGTATTATAAATACTTGTTTAATGCTTGTTTTTTAAATTGTTTTTTAAAATATTATTATTAATTAATTTGCTTATATACTTATTTCTAATAGTATTATTATCAATATAATAATTTATTTCAATTTCAGTATTTTTATTTTACTAACTTTAATCTAATTCTAAGTATTATTAGATATTTTAGTTATTAATTTAATCAGATTATTCTAATTAGGAAAGAAAAACACTTTCCATAAATTTTGAAAATACATCAGTTGATAATGAAGTGTTTTGTATTGAAGTATTTGTATTATCATCAGTAAACTAAATTAAAATTTATTTTAAATTGGTGTTTTCATTTTAATTTAAAGAAAATGAATCACAAATAGAGTTATAATTAGATTATTTTGTTAAATTATGATTATAATTTAAATTTAATCCGAGTTTTAAAAAATATTTCATTCTTTAATTTTATGAAATATTTGTTTTCACATTCATATTTTTAATTTTTTAAGTAATTTATAATATAATAAAAATATTCAAATAAAAATTTTATATTTTTTTGATTATTAATTATTCTTAAAGTTTCACAAAGTATTTTTGAAATCTTTAATATTTTTCTTAAAAAAATAATATAATTTATAAATATAAAAAAGAAAAAATTTTTAGAAACGAAATCATTATAATTTTAAATTTATATAAAATAAATTTAAAATAATAATATAAAAAAAAATATCTATATTATTCTAAAAAATATATATAATAAATAAATATAAAAATATATAAAAATATTAGTTAAAAATATATATGTAAAAAATTAAAAATAAATTATATATAAATTATTAAAATATATTAAAATTCATGAATATTAAATATATTTAATATATAAATAAATAAAATAAAGAAATATAAATAAAAATATATAATAAAATATATATTAATAAAAAAAAAAATATTTTTTAAAAATGTTGATATAATATTAACAATAATAAAAAATAATATATATATAAGAATATAAATAAATAGAAATATGTATAAAATATATAAAAAATATAAAAAAAGAATATATAAATATATTATAAATTTTGTAATATTAGTATAAATATTATATTTTTAATTTTTTTAAAAAAGATATAAATAAATAAAATATAAAAATATAATTATATATAAATAAAAATTATAAAAAATATGATAATAAATATATATAATAAAATAAATTAAATAATATAGTTATGTAAATATTTATTAAATATAAATTTAGATATAAATATATATATATATATATATATATTTAAAATTACATAAATATTTATATCTATTATATAAATATATAGATTTTTTAATATAATAATTATTAATAAATATAAAAAAAAGGTTAAATTATACAAAAAAAAAAATTAAATATACAGATATCCATAAAAATATATTATAATAATAAAATTATATAATGCATGCAATATAAAATTATATATATAAATTATTATTAATATTTATCATATAAATTTTTTAAAAGAATATAAAATATTATATAGCTATAAATTAAAAAATTTTAATATTTCAATAATATAAAATAAAAATAAAATTAATTTTTAAATAAATTTTTTTTAATTAATAATATTTAATTTTTTATATTATTAGTTTTAATAAAAAAATATATTGTAAATAAAATAAAAACATGATTTATATTTATAAATAAGTTTACATATTTTTAATAAAATATATTATTTATATATATAATAAAAGCAATATATAAAATAAATTATATAAAAATAAATAAAATAAATTATATTATATATATAATATATATATATATATATATATTTAATTTAATATCATTTATATGTGTATATTTTTATTTATAGTTATTATTTATTTATATATTGAATTTTTTAAATTATTATTTATACATTATATAAAATTTGTTTTAATATTTTTATAATATTATTTTTTTTATTATTTTTTACTATATTATTTATTTACTCTATATTTAAATTTATATTTTTTATTTCAATATTTAAATTTTTAAAATATTTTTATATAATATCTTAATTAAGTAAATTTTTTCCTTTAATATTATTTTTATTTTAATTTTTTTTTTAAATACTAAAAAATTTTATACTTAAATATGATATTTATATTAATTTTTTTATTTTTTTAATTATTTTTATATTTTTATTTCTTTTTATATTAATTATATATAGTTTTTTAAGATATTATATTTTTTATTAAAAAATTTATCAAATATTAATTATTTAATTATAAAGATAATATACATATTAATTTATTTATAAATATTTATAAAATTATTTATAAAATTATCATCTTATAAAATATCAAAGAAAAAATTATTTATAAATAAATTAATATTTTATTTATATTAATATTCTTTATATTTCTTTAAAATATATATTTCTTTTGTAAAATTATAATTATTTTATATTAAAATTAAAAATATATGAATAATTTTAATAATTACAAAATAATGATCTATAAAATGATTTTTATTAAATATTTAATATATTATAAAATATTATAATTAATTTATATAATTTATTTAAAATTTTTCTATAAATTTATTTTATTTAAAAAAATATAAAATAAGCTATATTATTTAATTAAATTTATTTTTATAATTGATAAATCATTTAATTAATTCTGAATTATATTTATTAAATTTAAAAATTTTAATTTTTATTAAAAAACTAAACTTTATTTTAAATATAAATTAAATAAAAAACTTTAATAAACAAATTTATGAATTAATTTATATATATATATAAATCATTGAATTTCTTATAATGATTTTATTATATTTTTTTAACAAAAAAAAATAATAAAAATAATAATGGAAATATAAAAAGTTGTTATAACAGGTGGAAACAGAGGTTTAGGTTATAATTTAGCACGTTATTTATGCAAACAGACCTATCATAAATTATTAATAATATTAACTGCACGAAATAAGTAAAAAGGTCGGAACGTTGTCATATAATTAAAACAAGAGTTTCCTTACTGTAATATTATATACCAATATTTAGATGTTTCTGATAAAACCACAATCAGAAATTTCGTAGATTGGTTAGAAATAAAGATCGGAAAAGTCGATTTTTTAATTAATAATGCAGGAATCCATGAAGGTTTTGGAGTTAAAGCTGATCATTTATAAGCATATGAAATTTTTAATACCAATTTATTTGGACTTATTGGTTTAACAGAATAAATGCTATAATGTTTAAGCTCGAAAGGAAAAATAATATGCGTTTCTTCACGTTTAGGTTTAACAATTTAGCATGATACATAAATAGAAAGTATATTAAGCAATCCAAAGCTTAATTAAAAAAAAATAATAGAATTAGCCGAAGAATATATAAATAAATTAAAAGAAAACTAGGTTTAAAAAATATAAAAAAAAAAATATAAATAAAAAAAAAGCTTTAATATTGGAATTAATCGCCCTTTGCAGCAAGTAAAAGTCTTGTAAATGCATATATAAGACATGATGTTAGTAAAAAATTAGAAGAATAACAAATGGCATTTAGTGTATGCCCAGGTTGGTGTTAAACTGAAACTGGTGGAAGTAAAGCACCTTTTAGTTGTGAATAAGGAATCGAAAGTATTATATATTTAATGTTTGAAGTTGAATATTAAAGTCATATATTGTTTAATGGTAAATTTGTAGCTGATAAAAAGATTATAAATTATTGATTTTATAATAATTGATAAATTAATATTTAATTTAATATATAATTTTTTGTTGTATATTAATATAAAATATATAAAATAATATATATAATAATTATATATAATATAAAAGATATATATATATATATATATATATATATATATATATTATTTTTTTATATTATTTTTTTAAAATATATTTTTTTTTATTATTTTTAAAAAAATATGAATTATTTATTAATAATAAAATTCAATATTTAATATTTTATTTCAAAATTTTATTTTAATTTAAATATTAATTTTTTTATATTTCTTCTTATAATTTAAAATCTTTTTCAACCTTAAATTCTTTATCAAGTATTTCTTTAATTTGAATAATATTTTTTTAAAAAGGTTATTCTATTTAGTTTTCACTTTTCTAATTTTAAAAATTGTGTGAACTTTTTTTTATATTTATTGGCTTTTAATACGAAAATCTATTTTTGAATATTTAATTAAGTTCTTCAACGTCATTTTTATTATATTATGGTGACAAAAAGTATTTATCATTGTTAAAAACTTTGCTTTATTTAGGCGTCAATTATTATTATTTTATATTATATTGAATATTTTCATATTATTATGATTCTTTTATTTGTTAAATTAATTATTAATTGCTTTCATAAGAAACAACCCTTTGTTAAATTAATTAACTATAGAGATTAAGTACTCTATTATATTTATTATCTAGAATACTACTTTATGATGTTAGGACTTTATTTTAATTTATAATATCATTATTTTCTCTCATTAATTCTTGAATTTAAAGATCTTTAATACTAATTCGTTTATCTTTATTTTCGATTTCTTTTTAGTATAAAATTATTTGCTATTCTATATTTTGAAAATGTTGTATTTATTCGTCTTTTTAATGAATTAATAAAATCAAGTCGTTTATTTTTATTTGCATTTTTTCTTATCTTAAAATATTTTGTTGGATTATTTCCTCCATTTGTGTAATTTTCTGATTTGGATAATAATCTTATACGTTTATTATGTTTTCTTCTATGTTTGTTTAAGATTTTCTTATATTTGCTTGACTTCTTATTTTTCCGATAATTCGATTTTTTGATTAGTTTTGAATACTTTTTTGTAAGTTTTAATTTTCTATTTATTAATTATAATCTTTTTCAAATGTTTCACTTTTTAAACGATAATATTTAATTTTTTCGTCTTTAAAATCACTTTTATATATAAAAGGGGCATTTAATTAGTTTAATTTTTCTTCTATTTAGTTTATTAGTTCATATGTTTCTTCAACTTTAGTCTAATTGTTTATTTATGTTTCTGAATTCATAATTTTTTATTTTCTTTTTTTTTTTTCAAATAAATTAATTTTTTTATTTTATATGTATTATATATATTATATATATATATATATATATATATATATTTTAAAGAAACATAAAACTTATTTATTTAAAAAAGATTTTTAAATTTTTTTAAAAAAATAAATATTTTTTTTTTTTTTTAATTTTACCAATAATAAACGTTCAAAATAAGTTAAACTTTTTCTTAGAATTTTTAAAAAATTAATTATAAATTTTTATTACAACTTTTTTTATATTAGGAATAGACTTATAATAAATAAAGAAAAAAAGAATCAGTATTATGTTTCAAAAATTAAAAAAAAAAATTAAATTAATCTAAATTATAAATTAAAAGTTATCATATTGCAAAATTAATAATTATTAGTAAACTTTTTTTCTATATTATTAAGTAATATTTATTTTTATTTAAAAAAATTAAAATTAATTTATTTGCAATATAATCTATAAATTTTTAATAAATAAAAAAATTAAAATTAATTTAATTGCAATATAATCTATAAATTTTTAATAAATAAAAAATTAAAATTATATTTTAGAAAAATATAAAATCAATAATAATTATAAAAAAAATACTAAATTAAAGAATAAAAAATACTTGTAAAAAATATCCTTTTAAAATATTATTAAATATAAAAAATGAGTATTGGATAAAAAATAGCAGAAATAGAATAAGAACTTGAGAGAACACAAAAAAACAAAGCAACATCTTATCATATAGGATAACTAAAAGCAAAACTAGCAAAATTCAAAAGAGAATTAATAGAAGGAAGCAAAGGAAAAACAGGACCAGCAGGTGAAGGTTTTGATGTATCAAAAACAGGAGATGCACGTGTAGGGATGATAGGATTTCCTTCAGTAGGAAAATCTACACTTTTAACAAAATTAACAGGAACAGAATCTAAAATAGCAGCATATGAATTTACAACATTAACATGTATACCAGGAAATATATATTATAAAGGATCTAAAATATAATTATTGGATCTTCCAGGTATAATTGAAGGAGCAAAAGATGGTAAAGGAAGAGGAAGATAGGTACTATATATATAAATATAAATATAAATATATATATATATATATATATTATATATATACATTTATTTATATATATAAATTATTATAATATATATTTTTATTCAAAAAATAAAATAATATATAGGTTATAGCATGTGCTCGTACCTGTAATTTAATTGTTATAGTTTTAGATGCAACTAGGCCTATGAAGCATAAAAAAATAATTGAACATGAATTAGAAGGTTTTGGTATTAGATTAAATAAATAACCACCTAATATTGAATTTAAGAAAAAATAAAAAGGAGGTATAAATATTACTCATACAGTTGATAATCCTGATTTAGATGATGAGATGATTAAAACAATTTTAAAAGAATATAAAATTAGTAATTGTGATATTATTCTAAGAGAAAAAATAAATGAAGATTAAATTATTGATATTATTGAAGGTGACAGAAAATATATTCCATGTCTATATGCTATGAATAAAATTGACGATCTTACCATGGAAGAATTAGATATAATTGATTAAATTCCTCATTATGTACCTATTTCAGCACATTTAGAATGGAATCTTGATGAACTTGTTGATAGAATGTGGGAATATCTTGATCTTGTTAGAGCTTATACTAAACCTAAAGGAAAAGAACCAGGTTTTTAACATATTTAGTTCCTTTTATTTAGTATATATATTTTTTATAATTTTTTTAGATTATAATTAACCAGTCATTCTTTAAAGAAAAAATAGTCTTGTTGAACATTTCTGTATGAGAATTCATAGAAATATGATAAAAGATATGAAATATGCACTTGTTTGGGGAACTTCTGTAAAACACAATCCTTAAGTATGTGGAAAAGATCATTAATTAAATGATGAAGATATTATATAAATTATTAAAAAATTATGAAAAAAAAAAAAATTATATATATTTAATTATTTTTTATAATTTCTTATTATGTTAAATTTTTTATTTATATTTATTAAGCTTATTTTAAACATTTTTTTATTTTTTAAATGAAAAAAGTAGTTATTTTAATTATAAAAAATATATATATTATTCAGTAATTTTAAGAAAATAACTCTTAATTAATAAAAAAATTATGAAAAAAATATTTATAAAAAGAAAAAGTTTATTATTAAAATAGATGAAAATAAAAAAATAAAATAAAAAGAAAATATTATTTGATTATAATTCTATGAATTTATTTAATTTAATTATAATATAAATAAAAAAAATAATAATAAAAAAATACAAAAAATAAAAGATTTATTAATAAAAATAAAAATATTTTCATTGATTTTATATAAATTATTAGAAGATAATAAGATAAATTTATATTTTAAATATATATATATATATTAAATTTATATATATATATATAATATAATAATATTATTTATATAATATAATTCTATCATCTTTATAAAAATTCTGCTTCTATTCTTTTTTATTCTCCATATGGTACTGAATTTTCTTTTGCTGAAAGAGTTGAAAACCAATTAGGTAAATCTATATTTTCATCATAAATTTCTGCTTCTTTAACTACTTTATGGTGCATTTATCTCATAATTATTGTGGCATTTTTTCCAGTCATATCACAAGGTCTTACACAATGCTTAATACCGTTTGCTGCATAAGAATTTTCTTCTAATTTTAAAATAGATCCTCTTGGCATAGGGATAACAAAGGCAGAATTACAAAAACCATAAAATTAACTTCCAAAGGATAATCTAGCATCTGAAAATAATTTGAATGTAAAAATAGGCTATAAATATAAATAATTAAAATATATTTTATAAAAATATATATATAATATATATATATATTAATAAATATATAAATTATTTATAATATTTATTATATATATATATATATATATATATTTATATATTTATGTTTATAAATGTAGTTATATATAATTATATATATCTATATATAATTAGTTATGTATTTCTTTTTATATATATGATTTTTTTTTTACTTGCATAAAACGTGTTGCATCATCAAAATGTTAAGCTAAACCTTCATTACCGTCATGGTATACATTTAAAGCTAAAGAATTTATAAATTTCTTTTAATTTTATAAAATTCATCAAATAAAATTAAATAATTTAATTTTTATACTTTTGGTAATATATTTGCATTTTCTAATTTTTAAACAACTTTTTTTTTGATCCATAATGGAGTTTCAGAAACATCTTACCTTACCCCTGCTCCTACATATGAATGAGGTTCAGCTAATTACATTTTAGTCCACATATATCTTGATCCGAAAAAAAATTTTGTTCTTCTTATTTTTTCTGCTGTACATGTTACTTAAGCTGTCATAGGGAAATAATGTCCTTTTTGATTATTTAAAAAAAAAAATAGTTAAGAATATACTTTAAAAACATTTAATTTCTGTTTTGTATGTCTCGTTTTCAATATCTATCATTTCTTCGTGAGTAAAAAAGTCCTTGAATAAAGTACAACCAACTCTATAGTCTTTAAAATTGGGTAAAAAAGATGCGAAGTTACTTGGGTAATTTTTAGGATCGAAATAATAATCAATTTAAGTGTATTTTCTACCTTCAAAATTAACCACTTTTTAAACTTCATAAAGATCAAATGCAAAGGAATCTCTAGTAGAAATATAGTAAGTAGGAATTTATAAATCTTTACTTTCTAAAACGGAATAATCTTATCCTTTATTTAATAAATTTCCCATATTAATACCTTTAGTTTAGGCGTAAAGTTATTATTATTAATTATTATTATTGGTATTATTTTTGTGTGTTTAAATTTGATATTTCTTTTAAAATGTTTTCGTTGAAATACCAATTTTTTTTGTTAGGGATATAAATATAATTATTTTAATATGGATTACTTATATATATTTATCTTATGTTATTTAACGTATTACTTAATAGTTTTATATCGTTTTCTTTCTATGTTCGGATTCTTATATTCATCATTTCTAAGGCTAATTTTTCGACTTCATCTTTTGCGTATAATATAAATGTACTTAAAAGACTTTTTATTAATTAGGAACTTTTTTTCCATTGAATTTCATCTATATATAATTCGAATCTTTTTGTTTTTTTTTTAAAAAAATATTATTATATATTTATATTTTATTACTTAACTGATAGTGTATTAATATTTTTTTTGGTTTAATCTTTTTATATATAATCAACAATTTCTTAACAAATTAATTTCTTTTCGTCTTTTTTCACATCTTATGTTGTATTTTAATCTACTTCAGTTTCATTATTAGAAGAATTATTAATATTATTATTTGGAGTTTATTTATTATTTGTAATAATTAAAGTACTACTATATTTATCTTCTTGTTCAATTTCTTAATTATTAATATTGATTATTTTTTCTTCAATTATATTATTCTCTTCAATAATATTTTTTTCTTCTATAGAATTTTTTTCTTAAATTGAAGTATTTTTAGGAAAAATTTTTTCTTCTATATTTTAACTATTTTCTAATACTTAATTTTATGTTTTTTTTTCATCTTAACTTTATTATTTCTTTAATTTTCTGCTTAAATTCTTCAAATCACTACTAATAGTTTCTAAAAGAGGCATTAATAGTAATTAAATTACTGAATAATTTTCAATTAATAAAATATTGTTTGCTGCTTCACTAAAAGTGATTGTACTTTATTAAAAGTTTATTTTATCTAGAAAATTGTTAATGTAAGGAGAAATCATATGTATTTAATTTTGAATATTTTCGACAGTTTCCATAGGCAGTTTTTATTATATTTTTTTTACTTTTTTTATTAATACATTCATATTTGATAGATCTTCACTATTTTTTTGTTTTTCTTCATATTTTTTTCCTTTCTTTTCTATATTTTTTAGTTTTTATTTTATTTCTTATTATTTTTCATTTTCTTGTATTTATTACTAATTTTCTTATTTTTCTTCTTTATTATCTTAATTTTTTTGAGTTTATTTATTTTCTCCTTCTATATATGCGCTTCCTAAAGTTTTTATGAAAGACTTTTTACCATTAATACTTTTCTTAAAAATAAAACCAAGATGCATATCACTAAATTTAATAATTTCTTGAACTTCTTCAATTGTAAAATGCTTTATTTATGGAGTTTTCATTAAGTATTTTTCATCGAAAATAAAATGGATACAAAGGAAATGTTTTTCAACAAAAAGAGGCCACATATCTTTAATATTTTAAACAATAAAATATTTACCTCCAGAAATTTACCATCTAAAAAAAATTATAATTATACATTTATATATTATATATTATATATTATATATTATATATTATATATTATATATTATATATACCTTTAATTTGGATATATTAAATAATTTCTCATAGCATTTTCATCTTCAGATTCAAACATAGTACAAAGTAGCATTTAATTACTTTAAAATAAAAATTCGAAAACACATTAATAATACTCTTCATATTATAATTATTTCGGTTGTCCATTTGAACATTAGAAAACTAATTAAGGTAAAGGCTTATATATATCAGATACATTATGTTATTTTGATTCAGGCATTTTCACATAAGAAACTCCACAAGTTCTTTTTAAATTAATGTTTTGGGACTATTTTTATCTAATAAAATGCTTTACTGAAATTTTCTATTGTTAAGTATTCATTTTATCTAATTCTATTTCTTATTAACGTTGTATTTCGATAGGCATATATCCTGATTTGTAATCTTTTATAAAAGTTATTTGAGAAAAATATTTGTTTCTTTATTCCATATCAAACGCATTTACTATGCCATCTAATGGTTTTGTTTATTATTGAATCTTTTTAGAGCAAAGAAAAGATGATTAAAAAGATTCAAAAGGTGATTTTTTTACCTTTTTTTATATATATTAAATATTTATAATTTTTTATATTTTTTACGTTTATTAAAACTTTTTGATTACTATTATCTACTAAATGAATTGTATCTTCTTCTTATTATTCTTCAATAAATTATTAATTTAAAGGTACTGAATATTTTTAATATTCTTTTATTTGTGTAGGAAAAGTAAATAAATCTCTTTTAGAATTTCTTCTAGTTTAGTCAGAGTTTTTATAAGAATCAAAGAATTTGCTTTTATTAATAAGAGTGCTTTGTTTTTAGAAATGACCTAAAATATTTGAAAATTCATTAAGTTTAATTTGTTTTTTTAAAGGCTTTTCATAATTATTTTGTTTTAAACAAATCTTCTAATTATCTTAGTTATTTAATTTATTATTATTACTATATTCATATGAAATGTAATATTCATTATTGTACAAAGTGTTTATTTTTCTTACTCTTTTAGGTTAAGTAGTTTCTATTGTAATATTTGCTATTTATTTAGAAAATTTAATATCTGTAAAGTTATTAATTTATTATTATATTTCAAAGTTTTATTAAAAGTTTCTTGTTTGTGATTCTTTCACTATATATATATATATATATAATAGTTTTTTATTTTATTTTTATTCATATATAAAAAATTATAAAATAATAGTTTATATTTATTTAATGGCGTAAGTCTTTTATTTATAAGTGTTTTGTTGAATAGTATTTTGTTATTTTTAAAGATTGTAATAATAATTTTTTAATATAATATTTTTTTTTTATTGTTTTTTTTTTTTTTTGATAATTATATAATATTGTTTTTTTAAAAAAAAACATAAAGAGTAAAAATTTAACATATATATATAAAAGTTGAGATTATTTAATGGTGCATATTTTGCATTTTTTAAAATATCTTATATTTATTTATTTATTTATATTTTTTTTTAATTTTAAAAATACTTTTTTTTCAAGGAAGATTTCTTGTTTGAAATTTGGATTTTTTCTTTTATAGACTTGATTTTTTTTTCCTTTATATATTTATTTTTTATAATTATTTATTTTTTTTAAAAAAAAAATATAACAAAAATCAGATAAATACATAATTTTTCCTAATTTATTATAATATATTTTTTTATATTTTTATTTAAATCTCTCTAAATATAGTATATTTTTGTTAAATTTAATATTTAGCCATTTTTAATTTGTTAATTTTTGTAATTAATCAGAAAAAATGAATACATTTTCAAAATTTTATTTTATCTTTTTATTATTTTTTTATTTTATTTTTTTATAAATATTTTAATTAAAAAAAAAATTATATTAAGTAAATAATTATGTCAATTAATAAATGAAATAATTTAAATTAACCAAAAGATAAACATATCAATTAAAAAAAAATATAATATTTCAAATAAAAGTTATTGGAAGCATTTTTACATTTTTTATATTTTAAAAAACTGAAGACGAAATATTTAGTTCATTTATAAAATAAATATATTTAATGAATTAAGGATAATAAGTAATTTTGTTAACTATATTAGATAATAGTGTATAAGCAAATTTATTTAAATTAAATAAGATAAAAATATATAAAAAATTATTTAATATTTCAGTTTTTATATATATATTTTTTTAATAAAAATTATAATTATTTTATTCCATTTTTATATTATCAATATTCATATATACATGTAAAATAATAAAATAAATTAATAATATATTAATTTAAAATTATACAAAGTATATAAACAAAAATTTTCAATATATTTTTTTTTTATATTCATAAAATAGTTTTAGATTTTATACTGAGTAATTATTTTGATAAAGTTAAATCTAAATTTCGAATCCGTAAATATATCATTATTTTTATTTTCAAAAACATTTTTTTAAAAAGAAATTTAATTATATTTCATTAAAAAAAATAGTTTTTTATTATTTAAATATAATATTTTTTTTCTAATTATTGATATTTTATTAATTGTTTTATATATATGATATTTTTTCTTATAATTTATTTTTTTAAATAAAAAAATTATATATATATTTTTATTTTTAAATTTAATAAAATTAATAAATATTTTAATTTATTATCAATCTAAAAAAAAAAAAAAAAATTTCAAATTAATAAGTTTAAAAAAAATAGTAAAATAAAAATATCATTAATAAAAATTGCTTGTATTATTATTATATTATTAACTTTTTTTAGGACCAATTAAAAAAGAAACTATCATATAATAGCTTTTCTACACATTAATAAGACTATTTTATACTTTTTGACTACTTCCCCCTTTCTATTAATAGATAAAGCTTGCAAAGACTTAAAAATTAATTTTTTTTTATTTATCATTAATATTATATTATCCCGTTTTAATTAAATTTTCTACAAACATAAAATTTCTTAAACGATAGTATTTAATGAAATTAAAAAGACTATTATTTTCTTTATATACTGCAATTTAGCTTGGATAAACTATTATTTCTCCAACTTCGTTTGTACTATTATTTCTTGAAATAGTTTTAAATTTAATTTAGGGTTATCCTTATACAATATTGGTTTCTTTAATTATATTACCTAAAAATTCATTAAATTAAAAATATGCACCCCTACTCATCAAAAATTCAGATAAATCTTAATTTTCTTACCTAAAACATATTTTTAACATCGCCTATTAATCTTAATTTGGAACTGGTTCTTTTTTTAATATGTCTACTAAGTATTTTAAAACTTCGAATTCGTTCCCAAAGCAAGCCGCGTGTACTAAACTATATTAATTTCCGTCTGTTGGAAATCTTTTTTGAACTAAAAATTTTAAAAGCTCTAAATTTCCATATCTACAGGCAAACATCGGTAGACTCCAATTGTTCATTGTTACAAATTATTTGGCATTATGATCGTATATTTCAATGAATTTTTTTACTTTTTCGGTTTCACCATTTTCTATTTTTTTTATTTTTCTTTTTTTTATTTAATACCTATCCAACAAAAAACTTAATTTTTATATGCCTTTTTCTTTAAAGTAGGTAATATATCAGACATTTTTAAAATATTTTATATAAGTCAGTGTTGTATAATTTATTTTTAATTTTAAAATATATATAAAAATTTTAATTTATTTATAAAAAAAAGATTTAGCATTATAAAGACATATTTATTTTTATTAAATATATAAATAAATTATGTCTATAAAAAAATAAAATAAAATTATTAAAAAAAATTTAAAATAATGCTTAATAAAAATAAATTAAAAAAATATATATCTAAAATGAAAAAAAAAAAAAAAAATATGATATAAATTATATTTAAATATTTTAAATATAATTTTAAAAAAAAAATATTTAAAAAAATAATATATAAAAAAAGAAAAAAAATAAATACAAAAATTAAATATAAAAAAATAAAATTTAAAAAAGATAAAAATATAAAAAATAAAATAAATATATATAGTGAATAGTAATAAAAAAATAATATATAAATAAATATAATAGATAATATAAAAAAATATATATAAA